TACCGAAATTCGAGCTCTCTTTCCAACGGTAATGTATTAACATACCTCATGCTGCGGCTAAGTGCATCTACGTGCGCCATTCGACTTCCGGCCGATGCGCTATCTTAAAACAGTAGTTCTGCAGTTCTAGAGACCATCGCGCTATCCGCGGATTTAAATTTACTTTATTTATAACATGGACCAAGGCATTACAGTCGGTAACTATTGTTAATTCAATCCCGTATAAATAAACGTAGAACCGTTCTACCACTATAACGATTGCAAGCATCTCTAATTCAAAACTGTGATACTTTTTTTCAGCTTCGTTAATCGACTGACTGAAATAGTCAACCGGAGTCCAACAATTATCCGTCTGCTTTTGCAGTAAAACTGCCCCAAGGCCCTGACTACACGCATCAGTACGCAGCTCGGTTTCTGCCTTTGGGTCGTATAGACGCAACACCGGATAAGAGGACAACTTCTTCCCTCAACAAATTAAACGTGCCCTCGCAATGTTCGTCAAAGATGAACTCAGCCGACTTTCTAAGTAGGTTCTGCAACGCGGAAACTTTCACCGCATAGTTTTTAATAAATTTTCTAAAATAGTTGGCGAAATCTAAAAACTGACGTACTTGTTTTACGTTGGACAGTCTTCTAAAATTTTTGACGGCTCTACGTGTCTCGGACTAAGCGTTATACCATCCTGACAAAACGTATCCTAAGAATTCGACCTTCTTGTAAGAATTTATATTTAGCAATATTCAAATTAAAACGGTACTGTCTCAATATTATTAAAACTTCCGACAGCACATCTAGGTTCTGCTCAACTGTCTTTGAGGGTATTAGAATGTCATCTATATAAACTGTTAATGTTTGATGAAAACCCATTCATACAGGAATCTTTAGGCTATAAATACGCTCAGGGAAATGAACCTAGGGACATATCGATCTTCTTTATTTCTCTATTGATCTCTATTATCATCGCAGAACATCATATAAAATAAGGACCTGTAATCGAGAATGATTAACGTATTAGGACCTTAACTTAGTTTCCGCCCAAAAAATACTGAGAAAAAGCATTTATTGTAAAAAATTTATTTAAATTATTTCAATGAAAGTATTTTCCATCACTTTCTACAACTTTTTGCCATCTTTCTGGCAACTGGGCGATACCATCTCGATAAAACGATGTTTGTTTCGAAGCAATCCATTCGTCCACCCATTCTCGCACTTCTTCAACATTTCGGAAGCGTG